CCCTAGGACATGAATATGGAATAGCTTATTTCCTTATTCAAGGAGCTAATCACAAACCCTATCCAACATACATCTTTCCTGAGAGTACAAAATAAAAACTCTAAAGAAGAAGCTATCTGTTTCCCTCCTGTTCCCCCTCCTCACATGTACTTATGAGAGACAGGCTGTCCAAACTAAAAATATTACCAATATTGTTGAGAAAGATAACAAAGATTCTCATCTACTGCTACAGATGTTACATCAAGGAGATTGACACCTCAACCAACCTAGTATGTGCAAATAGTAAACATTCTGCTATATCTGGAAAAACAGTTTCTCTGGCAAATATATGAGGAAAACAGGTTTGAGGAGATCTTGGGAGTTCCAAAAGGAAACGGGGGGATTTTCTATTTTTGACAATTTCAAAGGATTCATCAAGCTATGAACTCCCCCCCCCAAAAAACCCATGTAGTATAAAAATGTGCCTAACATACCAAAGAATTTTTCAAGCTATAAATAATATATTACAATTAGGTGGTGCAAGCTTATTTTCTGAGACAGCATGCCCATCCATTTCACCATTCCTAAAACAATAGAATTCTTTATAGAATAGAATAGAATTCTTTATTGGCCAAGTGTGATTGGACACACAAGGAATTTGTCTCCAGTGCATAAGCTCTCAGTGTACATACAAACAAGTGATAAATTAATGATTATAATCATAAAAACATCATAAATCATATGATACAACACTCAGTGATGGTCATGGGATACTAAATAAACAAATAATATAAATCATACTAGGACACTAAATAAAACAATATAAATTGTAAGATATAAGCAACAAAATTATAGACATAAGATAAGGAATAGGTAATAGGAAGAATGAGAAAGATAATAGTAATACAGCTCTACTAGGTAGTTTGACAATTTTGTGGGAATTAGTTGTTTAACAGAGTTCTGGCATGGGGGAAAATACTGTCCCTGTGTCTAGTTGTTTTGGTGTGCAATGCCCTATAGTGTCATCTTGATGGAAGAAGTTGAAATAGTTTATGTCCAGGATGTGAGGGATCTGTAGATATTTTCACAGTTCTTTTTCTGGCTTGTGAAGTATACAATGGAAGGCAAGCTGGTGGTAATTGTTTTTTCTGCAGTTCTAACTATCCATTGAAGTCTGTGTCTATCTTGTTTGATTGCAGTGCCAAACTAGACGGTTACAGAGATGCAAATGACAGACTCAATAATTCCTTTGTAGAACTGTATCAGCTGCTCCTTGGGCTTCCTGAGTTGGTAAAAGAATATACTTTGTTGTGCATTTTTGATGACATTTTTGATGTTAGATGTCCATTTAAAATCTTGAGATATTATAGAACCTAGAAACTTGAAGATCTCTACTGTTGATATTGTGTTGTCAAGTATTGTGGTAGAATAGGGGGGCTTTTCCTAAAATCTACTATCATTTCTACAATTTTGAGTGTGTTCAAGATTGTTCTGGACACACTACGAGGCTAGTTGTTCAACCTTCCATCTGTATGCAGATTCATCGTTCCTAAAACAAATGGAGACTGGAGAGTAATCCTGCCTCCTAAACATCCTAATGCACCACAAATCTATTAGCAATGCCCATTTCGATCTCCAAATTCATGGAGACCTAACATTAACCCTAAATGGATTCGGGATTTTTACATGTATTTTACCAAAATATCTAGATAGGATGGGCTCCAAAAGTCAGAACCATTCTAAGCATAACGATACACTACAAATCTATCGCCCCCATTGGGATTTTCCCATGTATTTTACTAGGAGACGTAGTAAGGCAGACTAGAAAAGTAAGCACCCTCTTAGGCATACCAATGTGCTAGGAATCCATTGGTGAACTCCATTTCACTCTCTGAACTCAGGGAGACCTAACTGTATCCCTAAGTAGATTTGCCCCCCAACGCTCTTTTCCCATATAATTTAGTGGGAGACATAGATTAGACAGGCTTGAAAGGTCAGCAAACTCCTAAGTATACCAATGCGCCATGACTCTGTTGGTGATGTCCATTTCACTATCCAAATTCATGGCGATCTAAGTTGATTTGCTACCCAATGGCAATTTCCATATTATGCTATTTAACCAAGATATCCAACATACATCTTGCCATGTAGGGTGAGCTCGAAAGGTCAGCACTTTCCTAAGTATAACAATGTATTTTGCTCTCCAAACTTTTAACTCTAACCAAAATGGATTTGGGATTTGCCCAATTTTTCAAGAATTGACCATATTTTGTCCACAGCAAGGAAAATTCAGAAAATTCGTGTTGCCTGGTTCATGCATTCAGGAGGCCAGAAGGACAAGGTTTTTTTCAACCTAAATGTTAAAACAGATCCTGTGTCAAGATTTGGGGTTTTATTTCCTGGCTGAAAATTGTGTTGTTTACTTTTTTAAAAAAATCAACCCTATTTTGTCCACAGAGATGAAAATTTGTAAAATTTGTGATACCTGGTTCAGGGATGTAGGAGGCCTTGAGGCCAATTTTTTTTTTCAGCCTAAATGCTAAAATAGATCCTGTGTCAATCAGTAGGATTAGGAAGCCAAAGTCTTTTCCATCCTGCCTTCTATATATTACCAGGAAAAATACATGGCAAAAAGCCATTGGGGGGGGGACTCAATATTAGGGTTAGGTCTTCATGAACTTGGGGAGTCAAATGGATGTTGCCAACAGATAAATAGCACATCAGTAGAATTAGAAGGCCAGATTTGTCTGGCCTGCCCTCTGTATCTTTCCTGGTAAAATCCATGGGAAAACCCCATTGGCATACAAATCCCTTTAAGGTTATGTTTCTATGAATTTGGAGAGTGAGATGGACATCACCAATGGATTTGTTGTGCATCAGTATCCTTAGGATGTTGTTGACTTTTCAAGCTACCCTCCTTTATGTCTCCTGGTCAAATACATGAAAAAACCCCTCTGGGAGAAAATCCACTTAGGGCAGTGGTTCTCAACCTGTGGGTCGGGACCCCATTTGGGGTCGAACGACCATTTCACAGGGGTCGCCAAACAAGGCAGTCCACCATTTTTTCCCCCTTTTCCTTAGCTGTGCTACTCCCTTTTATTCTATTGGCTTTTGAAAGCCAATAGAATAAACTCTCTTGAATAGAGTCTAATTCTATTGGCTTTCAAAAGCCAATAGGAATTGTCCAGGTTGTCTCTGCCCTGCTGAGCCCCCAAAAGTCCCATTCTGCAAACGGTGCTGCACCAGTTGAGTAGTCCTCAACTTACGACCGTTTGAGTAGTCCTTGACTTACGACTGGTTGGGGGTCGCGGCATTAAAAAGGTTGAGAACCACTGACTTAGGGTTAAGTCTCCATGGATTCAGAGAGCAAAATGTAGGTTGCTACGGGGTGCATTGGGATGCTTAGGACAGTGCTGACTTTTCTAGCACCTTATCTATGTTTTCAGAGTTGAGCAGGGAACCTTCAATGTGGAGACAGAAGCAATTTTGATAGACAAAGTGTTTGAATTAGACATATTAGAAACTTGTTTTTTACATCATTAATTTACTCCTCTGGATATTGGTTTTCCGGTGACAGCAAACAATTCCAGTTCAATGCTGTTTTTTTCAGCTTGGTTTCAGATTTCAGGGAGTTAGGAAAATGATAGCAGTGCCATTAAATCCTTGCATTGCCATGTGTGACAATCATGAAACGGTCATGCACAGAGGGGATGATAACAGCAATCATAATGGATTTATATACTAGCCTGCCTGATAGGAGACTCGACAGGTGAACCAGTTTGTTCAGGCAATGTTGGGAGTCACAATGTATCTTTTCCCATCACCTACTGGAAAATATTAGCTGATTGGCTAGTGACATTAGCCTTAAACAGTGCCTCTGACACCAACAGGGGACCTAGCTGGAACTTACAGCAGTTTGCCACTCTGTGCCACCATACCTCAGCACGCATGGATGATAATGCAACAAAAATGCACATAAGTTAATACTATATGGAGGCTTCAGATCTAAGAAGCTACAATGGGAAGTGACTCAGTTGGTATCTTTCCCTATGCAATGCAACTCATGAAAATCTGATTGAAATTATAAACTCTCTTAAAATAGGCTTCCTTTGCAGTTAAAAGCATTGGCTTAAATATGAAGGTCTGAATTTCTTTTTTTTCACCAATAAGACACACATGTTTAACGTTTAACAGAAGATATATTGTGCAACAACTAGAATTAGCTGTTTCCTTGGTCTTGGTTGGGCAACATATATACATATTTAACTGAATTATATTCCCTATATATTTTCTTCCTTGTACAGTAACTCACTTCCTTCAAAACTCTGTTCTTTTTTTCAATGTATTTTGTATCAAAAATATTTTCAGGGAGCAGTGTTGCAAAAGGAAACAAGAAATACTGCAACATGAAAATATGACAGAAATATTTGTGTTCCAAGATGCAAGACTGATGGACCTGCCTGTGTTCCAGCACTAGATTAAATAGCTTTATTAGAGAGAACATGCATCCATAACTTCTACAATGAAGAAAATTAAAACTTTGTTGAAATTCTATTTCCGTCATTGTCTCTTTCATATTTTTTAATCATAACTACCAGGGGTTAAATGTCAGCCTACAATCCCAGAAAAAACAAGCATGCTACAGCAGGAAGTAGCTGCTACTAAGGCACATGTAACAAGTATATTTTATAAATAAAGTGCATGTAGAAAAGGAAACCTCTTAAAACGAATAAAGCTTTGAGATTAAAGCAGAATGAAAATTAAGAGATTAGTTGGAAAAAAGGCGACTTTCTAGACAAAACAAAACCTTAGATAAAATGCTGAAACAACAGATTAAAAGGAAAATACAATTAAAGATTGATTGCATCACATCTTTTTTTCTCATTCTCATGGAGTCATTGTCAGAATTATTAATGCTGGAGTTGATCTGTTGATGACATGAATCAATATAGGCAATTAGATATGTATATATGATTAAATAAATAAATCAATTTGTTCAGTTTTAAGAAACACAGAAAACATTTTTGATCTAAACACTTTAATACATAAATATAAGTCATCTCTAATACAGAATAGCAATGCAACACAATTTGCATTTGTTCTTACACTGTAAACATCCTTCTTACATCTATTTTTTTTTCTTTACCTTAAATGGAATTCTCACTTGAGCCAGCAAAGTGATTTCCAAACATCTATTTAAATTGACCAAAATATCAGATCAATAGTATACCAGTTAGGATTATATTCTGCCAGATTGTCATCTGAATGCTTCCTAAGCAGAGAACAAAAGAGGAAGCATGAAGAAGCACTATTTCTTAAAAACTTATAATTTTGTTTCTGAAAAAATGCTGAATGAAGCCTGTATACCATCCAGTTTAATGACATTCCTAAATCATACTGAAGAGTAATGGATTTTACTAGCTGAGTCTGGAGAGCCATCAACTCACGGGAACTTTAGCAGGTTGTTTACATTCATCTCATTTTTCTTCCAATGACAAATGACTGTACCCCTTAAGGGAAAAAAGAAAAGGTGCAGTAATAGGATGCTTTCAGAGTGATGGCTCTTAATGCCACCAATCAAAAGATAGATTGTGCAGGTAATACATCATTCCCTTGGCTAAAACAAAAGTAGTGGGAAAGCATGGGAGAATTGAAACATCTGCATACTCCTCCCTTCCTCATAAAATAGAAGCTTCTTGAAAACAAATTCCCAGGTCTAGATAATTAAAAACCATATAAAATATATGAGTATACACAGTATCAACTATGTATTCAGTCCTTTACTAAAGAAGTCATAAAAGAAAATATTTTGCTACAATTTTCTACCAGAATCTGCAGACATTCTGAGACTATTGAGGGTTGAGCAGTTTCTTTGCAATCAAACTCCTAAGCTACAACTAGCTAACAGTTGAAAGTCTAAGACAAACTTTATCATTATCAACAGACAGAAAAAGCAAAGCTAGCACCATTAAATTAGAAATCTGTTAACAGATTTTATTTCTATTATAGAGGTACTGGAGCAAATACTAGACTCTACAGTATGCACATTTTTTAAAAAGCATCTTCTAGTTGAATCTAAGATTCTGATTTTGGCTTGAACATTACAGACACAGTGGCCTGCATGCATTTAATAAGTTACTGTAATTTTGCCATCTATTCACAATTCAATTAGATTAATTTTTTAGATTTAACCTGAAAGCAATCAATTATGTATGTAACTTCAGGTAATGTTATCATTTTTACTACCAGCATGCTATTTACAACACTTTCTGAGCCTAGATACCATTTATTAGGCATTTGCTTTGCTATCAAATAATGAAATACATAATGGTTTTTTCCTGAAAAAAAATATTATATGCCAGCTACCACACAACAAACAAGCAAGGTGAATTATCTATTTAAATGACAGTTCATGGGGATGGGTCATTAATGTTCTGATTTATGTGAATATAGCCCTTATGTTCAGCTGTTCATAATAATGCAGAAGTAGATTTTTTTTTATACAAATTCACAGCTGCATGAGAAAATCTAGCACTACTTCCTGTTGCTGATGTAATTTTCCCAATGCTGTACATGTAAACCAACACTATAGAAGTGCTGCAGGTGTGGTGACTATAAATTGCAGTGCTTTCAGCTGCCATTAATAAGGAGTCTATGATTTAGAGTTAGTATTAATATTAGCAGTATCTTTTGGATTGTGCCAATAGCATCACTGATATTTTCTCATACCTGCAAAGCAAAATTAGGAATTGGAATTAATTAATTAACTCTTTCAGGCTGAGGTCTCCTATGGAGTTTCCAAACTATGCATTAAGTTCATCTGCCAAAACCCATGCTTCTGTTCTTTGAATTGGAATAAGCAACTGTGGTGAAACCTTATTGGTTTGATGTGTGATCACATCTGCAGCAGCAACATCTTAGGTAACTGATGAATTAAATCTGGATCCTTTGGAAGCCCTTTACAGATCAGGATATTTTATTCTATTCATGACTGAACAAGTAGAAGCTGAGGTAAAGCATTTATAGCAATTTTAGTCTCCCATCTATGAGCTCATTCTTTAGTATCCCCTATTTACATCCTCAGATGGTGCTAGAATAACATAAACCAAGTATATTACTCTATTTTCTCTCATTGAAAACATTGCTATCTCCCTTGCTACTATAAAGTCATGTACCATAAAAATGGATGGCCTTAGTCTTCTTATAATGTATAATTTGACTACACAGTGTGTTTCATATTCCTATCATCCATATAGCTTTCCACTGAAACGACATTAAACAAAGAAGATGATTTAAAATGTCAGGCTTTAAATCATAGAAATCATGTACAATTTTCAAATAAGCATCTTAAATGGTTAATTTTTTTTTAAAAAAAACCCTTAAAGCTTGAAAGTACAACATGCCACAATTTTGAAAGAGATGATAAAAGTCCTCAAAAATCATTCAAGTCACTCAGCTTTTGCAGCACAATACCGGATTTCATTACTTACATCGTAATTCAGTTATAGTGCCCCTCAAGGCAATGATTGGGAATACAATTTCTGTTCTCACTGTATTATAACTAGATATACACATCTGGCACCCAGATGAGATCTATGATGCATAATAGCTTTTCTAAAACAAATGTGCAACTATATGTGTTGCAGTATTCCCAATCTGGCAAGAAGAGCTCCAAAACATACCAATTCTGCTGCACTGAAATGTGTGCCATTGCACACATTGTCTGGATAACTCTAAGTACGTGAACTTAACCTAAAACCTTACTTGTGAAACTGCAGACTTCTTAAGTCCATAAAAACAGGTCTCTGTGCATTCAGAATAATGGCAGCTGCATATTCGTATTCCTATTACCTTCAGTGCACCAAGGGGAACTAGGCTTTGAGCCATGGAGGTTCAAGTGAGAGCTCTGGAACAGAAGGGCCCTAAAGTATGTTTAAAACTCCAAGAATAGCAGAAGCTTTGCAGCAGAGATGTGTAGAAGGCAATAGGAAAGAAGTTCCCCAACACAAATTACATTGGTTTTTGATTTCCTAACATGCTGTTAGGAAATATAAACCTTGAAATTAATACCCTGATAAAACACTTTCCACAACTATAAAAAGTTCTAGTTCAAGAGACTAAAGTAATTAATACAACTCAAGTCTTAAAATTAGGAAATGTGCTTCTTTTCAAACATAAACATGGATATTACTTTAGAACAATCATCTCAACTGAAATTTTAAAATAAATATATTGATCTGTGAAAATAAAACTATTGTATCTAATATGGAAAACCACAGGTCTTCATATGAAATATCTGTGTATGTGTGTGTATTAAAACAGAAAAAGATTATGAACGATACAGATAATTTGTGCTTGCACTAATTATGCCTTCAGAGCTTTCTTAAGATCAGAATAAAAATTGATCAGTGTGCCAGCCATAGCTGTGTCTACTACTGATTGTGGGAGCATCCCACGCAGGTCTGTCTGGATAAAGCCAACCAAAAGACTATGTCTTGGATTGTCCGTGAGTGGAAAGCAGAACCAGCCACAAGGATGGTTAAACCCTCGAACAAAACTTGGCCTTACTTCACCGTAATCCAGGCTAATACCTATTTTAACGAAAACATAACAGCAATTATATGAGGATCTAGAGGAACACATTTTTAAAATGGCTTTTTAACTGAATTAACAAAATTTTGGAAAACACATAATATAAAGCAGACAAAATAAGCATAAAATAAAGGGACATGAAAAGATTATCTTAGGCACATGTGCACTCACATAAACATAATTTCAGAGAGAGATGCAACTATTTTATATGTCAAAGTTCAGTATTTCTGTTCCAAATTATTTTGTACAGATGAGAGTAAAATTTTAAAGAAATTGACTATCCAAACCGCAGACCTGAACTATTACCTTATTCACCAGGAGAATCTTTATTCAACCAGGTAAAATAAGGAAATCAGCATGTGGAGAAACCTAAAGCCTAAAGCAGTGGTGGCAAACCTATGGCCTGGGTGCCAGAGGCGGCACTTGGAGCTCTCTCTGTGAGCATACATGCTGTTGCCCCATCTTCGCCTCCCCCCCCGTGACCCCCTCCTCTCCAGCATCCCTCCTAAAGGAGAGTTGCCCCTGAGTGTGGCCCACGTGGAGCAGCGCAGCCAAGGACATGGCAGCCAGGCAGCGTAGACAAGACTCTGCTCTCACACCCCATTGTGCACAGTTGATGCTGCAGGGCGCGGGCAGAGGGCGTGACTGCTATAGCGCTGCTGGGCTGCCTGGGCAATCTGCGGCAGGCCCTGGAGGCGGTGAGTGGCCGTGCAGGCAGGCGGGGCAGGGGATGGGGGGCAGAGCTGGGGCGCAGCAGGGGATGAAGTGGGGGCGGGGCCAGTTTTTGGGCACTCGGTCTCTAAAAGGTTTGCCATCACTGGCTTAAAGTTATTGACAGCATTGTGCTGATTATTTCCTGATACTGTATTTCAGTTTTATTTTCTCCTGATTAGCATAATCAAGAATAAAATAGTTTTTAAAAATGTCAAGCTACTCCTGCTTTGTGAGCTTTGACTTAAAATGACTGCTTTCCCCCCCCCAGTGAATTAACCATTATAATACTCAAGGATTTTCTCCATATTTCTACACATCATTTGTCACAAATGTACTAAATTTATCTTTCAGACAGAAGAAAAGAGGTTTAATTGAGCAGGTATTTTTTGGCATCAATAATTATTTTTACACAAGTAATATGCATTCTAAAAAGTTAGCACAGTAACAGCAACTGCAATTTCAGATTCTGCTGTAAATCTGAAGGGAATCATGTATATATGGGATATGTCTAGCTCCAATTGTATGCAAATGGATCTTGACCTTGGAACAATTGTTTAATCCTGTTCATTTGAAGAAATCCTAATCTAAGACATCACTCTTTAAAATAAGATACTCTATACTTAAACAACCCAAAGCAAAATTGTGGGGATTTCAGTAATTTTAGATTACTCTTACAAAGCTGGATTAGAAGATAAAAGATTATCAATGAGAATTTACCACATGACAGCAGTCCATCTTCACAACTGGTTGTGTAGGAGAAATCAATGAACTCCCTTGGTGCAATGATGTTCAATATTTGACCAGCTGTAGTATAACGCATTACACAGCAATTCTGCAAAGTGATCATAAAATGGCAGTTTACGGGCGATTCATTTTTATTAAGCATTATTTGCAGCCTTATTAAAAGTCCTCAAGATTGTGGTAGGGTTGATGTACTGCACTGACATGTAATGGGTTTCCTGGCGTAGGGTACTGAATGAACCAAACTAATTGCAATTTATACAAATCATAGCTAAGCAAATTTGTTCAGCATAATGCTTGAATCCAGCCTGTTTGTGCATGCAGTCTGTTTTTGAAAATGCTACATGTATACAGATGGCCCTTGGTTAATAATCACTTGTCCAGCAACTGTTTGAACTTATGACAGGGCTGAACAAATGGTCCTTACAATTGGTCCTTGAAGTTCTGGCTGTTGAAGCACCCCAGCAGTCATGTGATCACAATCTGGGTGCTCAACAACTAGCCCAGATTTCCAACTGTTGCACATGATCATGCAACCTTCACAATCTTCCCTGCCAGCTTTCCACAAGCCAAATCACTGGGGAAGCCGGCAGGAAGTCAGAAGTCATGATCATGTGAGATTCTCGCTTAACAACCTATGATGATTCACTTAACTGGGGACGACCATCATTAATTGGTACAGCCATGTGACATTGCACTTTATGACTGCATCACTTAATGATGGAAATTCCACTCCCAATTACTGTCAGTACGCAAGAACTACCTGTATTAATATTGTTCTAAGGCAGAGGTCCCCAACCTTTTGGGCACCAGGGACCGGTTACGTGGAGTTTTTTCCGTGGACCAGAGGGGGCGTGGTTTTGTGTGCTGCCTGCATCCTGCAGATGGGGCTCTGCTTGTTTGTGTAGCCTGGTTGCTGGCATGCCGCGGCCTGGTACCAGTCCACAGAGTGGGGGTTGGGGACCCCTATTCTAAGGCCAAGAAAATATTTTCAGAATCATGAAAATTATATTCAGCCAGCATTAAGTGCTGTACAGGAAAAAGTAGTTTGGGAGAAAAGGCTATACCTGCCTTTTCCTTGGTAGAGATCTAAATTAGAGTGCTCTGCAACTATGACTTTTGAAACAATTAATATCATGCCTTCTTCATTTCTTCAGATGTGCTCCAAGAAAGTATTTTAGACAGGGATGGGCAGATTTCAGATGTGTTAGCTCTATTGAGGTCAACTCAGGAATAAGTAAGAATGCCACTTATAGCATATACACAAATTAATTTCTTATTGGTTGTTAAATATAATGTATCTTACATTTGCTAATCAGAACCCTGGCAGCTATTATCTATAAATGAAAACCCTAAACATGCTAAGTACATGAAATATGGCCCATACACGTTACCTCTTCATACTTTTCAACAATATCCATTGTGGTCATCAGACTATCCCAGCTGATCCGATAAGGTCCAGGACGTATGTGATCTATTATTCTATTGGTAACATCTTCCACAATACCTTGTGTTTTATAGCTAAAGATAGATTTAATAGAAGAGGGTTTAAAACTGTTAAAGCTTATAATTAGGATATTTCTAGTAGTCTTTAGAAGTAGTTGAAAAACCAATAAACCTCTGTAATAAGTATCTAACTCTTCAAAGTGTTTATGCATAAATCCCATTTGAAAGGGTGCAGTTACACTTAAAAAATTACTGGTTCCTAAGGATTGGATTATAATACTATGTCTTGTATTGCACTTACCAGTAAAACCAATCTGGAGATGTTTTTACCCTTCAGTTGTACAAAAATAATGAAGTTTACATGCTTCAAACATGGCTAATTGATGAGTTTGAGATTAGGATCCAATGTTGTAGTTATGATACCCAAACAGATAATAGTAAGGAGCTATAGAGATAACCTTAGAGAAAGCATCCAAAAGGCAGACAACAAGTAGAGGAAGCATGTGTTAAGCTCCAAGAGCAAAAAAAAGTCTTAGAAAAACAATGGGACAGCTTCCCCTGAATAAGAGGGAGGGAAAAGAAAATACAGGCTGATTTGCATGATTCTGTTACTACACACTACTTCAGTTTAATTCTCATCTTCCTAAGGAGAGTTTTGTGATGTGGTATACATCATAATTCTGATAATAATGTACTGGTGGCTGCCCAATTTCCATTTTTGCCCTAATATGGCAAGATCTCATTATTTATTTTGATTAAGACAGCACCCACACACACATGCACATGTAGTTTAATCTTGTACAAATGTTTTAAGTAAAGTTCAACTTACAGATACCCACTGAATTCTTCTGATGGCTTACGCCAAACAGTAATATCTTTCTGCAGAAAAAGAAATGAAGGATTATACTATTGATACATTATTAAAACATTCAGTCACTCATATCTAAGAATGTGGAATATAATTAAGATGTTTAAAAAGTGTATTTCAGACTATAGAGACCTTAGAAGGAACTTTTCACATACAGGCAAACCTTAAAAACTTCCTGGATACAGAAACATTATTATAAAAAATAACAGAGAATACATATGATAATTACTATTCTGCATATCCATCTTCATTCATTGATATCCATGCACTATCCATAAATTGTTATATTTATAGATATTAGTTAAAAGTGCATTCATGAAATAATATCTTTAAACTGATCCAGCTTAAAAACTACATACATTTTAAACATTTTAAGACAGTGGTTCTCAACCTTTTTATACGGCGACCCCAGTCCTAAGGCCGCGCCGCGCATGCGCGGTGCCGCCCCCATGCACGGTGCAGCCCCCATGTGTGGCACGCATGCGTGGCGCCGCCCCCATGCGCGGCGGCGCCCCCTGAGGGAAAAAAATGGCGGATCGCATTGTTTGGCAACCCCCGTAAAATGGTCGTTCGACCCCAAATGGGGTCACGACCCAAAGGTTGAGAACCGCTGTTTTAAGACCACTGTAGACAGGGAACGTTAATAGCACTTACATGAAAACAATATAACCTATAACTTATCACTATCAAATAGTAGCAACACATCTCTTCCAAAGATTTAGTTGGTTGTTTCTAGTTTTTTGGAAACTTAAGACTCACCATATTGTGTTCTATTTTTCTAAAACTAGCACACCAAATATGTCAACCAACACAATTTGATATAATATATATGTGTACACTGGTGTCTTACCAAAATTAGAAAACCTGCTCAATAACTTACTGTTTTCCTAGTAACTCTCCATTCATTGTCCTCAATGTTATGATACTGAATCATTGTATTTTTTAGCCTTGTAGCCAAAGAATCTATATCAGAGATATCTTTCATTCTTTTTGTAACCTACAAGGGGAAAAACAATTTTAAAAATAAAATGACCTGAGGTTGATTTTTTTTTCTGTTTGGCATTAACAGCAAGATAAATCAATTTGTCTCCAAACTGTAAAAAAATATGATTATCCCAAGATTTATTTTAATTAATTATTAAAAATTAATTATTAAAAATTAATTATTCTTATCCTTCCTATAGTTGAATGTCAGATTTCTGTAACTATTTAAAAATAAAAATCAGATAAGCTATTTTTAGTATTTTTCTTACCTTCAAATCATTATTACTAGGATTTTCGAAGCCAATTATTGTACAATTAAAGCAGAAAGTATTATATTTCATATGTAATAAAGGGCTAACAATACTTTGATGAATTATGTATTTATTTAATATTTATTGTTGATTGATTTTGCCTTCCAATCAACTCTTGGTGACTGCCTGAACAAGTCCCTGCACATTATTTCTTGGCACAATGTCAGAAGTGGTTTTGAAGGTGTTATTGCCTCCTTCCTAGGGCTAAGAGAGAATGACTGTCCCAAAATCACCCAGCTGGTTTTATGCCTAAGGTGGAAATAGAACTCACGGTTTCCTGGTTTCTACTTAGATGCCCTAACAACTACCCCAAATTGGCTTTCCGTCTTACTTTTAGGATATAGAAATTTTAAGTTTACTGGTAACTTTTTATATTTTTAACTTAAAATATTTTTCTCAAAATGTCATAGTCTGTAAGCACTGTGCCTGTTATGCCTGATGGATAATATATGGGGGTACAGCGCTTTCTCATGTGTGACTCCCAGACTATGAAATATGCTCCTAGGTGGCTTGCTTTTAGCCCCCACTCTTTTTGCCTTTGCAAAACAGCTAAAGTATACTTATAATGTTGAAAATGTTAGCATGGGTCTTTAAATTATACATTTTAATTTTTGTTTTGTATGTTGTATTTTTGTTGTTCATGCGGGAAGTCAGCCCCTCAGAGAAGGAAATATTAAAAAGGGCAGAAAAATATATTTCCTCCAAGGATCTTAAAGAAGCAGGAAAGCATGCCCAGTTTTCTTAATAGCCCCAGGTCTCCCTTCCCCAAGCAGAAACCAGTTCTATAGAGATGCAGATGTAAATCCAGGGAGCTAGGAGATTAAGAAGACAAAGACCTAAAATCTGCATACCCCACCTAGGACAGGGCATGGTAGGACAGTGATGGCAAACCTTTTAGAGACCTAGTGCCCAAACTGCAACCCAAAACCCATTTAGGTATCGTCGGGTGCCAGGTGGGCATGGCCCCATTGGGTGGGCGTGGCTGTGGTGGTAACGGCAGACTGGGTAGGACTAAAAAGTTCAATCAATCAATTCCAACTTTGTGAGATCTTTTTTTTCCCGCGAGAAGTTGAAATTGATTCTTTTTTTTTTTTTTTTGCACACAGCGGCGGAGGTCTAAAGCGAAAAGGTTTTATAAAACCCACCTGAAGGGCTAGGACTAGGGCAACAGCGCGTGTGTCCACAGAGACGGCTCTGCATGCCACCTGTGGCACACGTGCCATAGGTTCGCCACCACAGTGGTAGGATTAACTCACAAAGGCCAAAGGGCACACCCAAACTCCAGTCAGAATACATGACACAGGAAATAGCCTCAAAACAGGAACAGGAAATAACTTCAAACAAAGGGCTCCAGAGAGTATAAAAATCCACTTCCTACATGTGCTCAGCCCTTTTTTTTTTCCACTTCTCTTGCTGCCAGAACCATTTTCTTGTTTGGCTCTTCTCTCCAATAAACTACAACCTTCTTCCCAAAGTAGTTGCCATGTTTATTCCCAGCTTGGATGAACCAGGATGAAGACTTTTCTTCCAACATTCATTTATAGACCATTCATTTTAATCAAAAATCAGGATACAAGTCAAAAGCTAAGTACTCTTTCAAATAATTCCATTAAATTAAAACAACTCTTCCCACATTCCCAACTAACCTGTCTCACTCCCCACCCCCAGTGATCTCAATTTAAATTGTACAACAGTTTAGTCCTTTTCTGTACTTCATATAATGAGATGCAAGCTCAGGATTATGTTTTTTGCCTGCTTGAGTAGAGAGTTGGACTAGAAGACCTTCCAACTCTGTTATTTTGTTGTTATTCTATAAATGTGGTGGTCAGAAAAAGTGCTATCAGATTCCACCCGTAGCCTAACAGATCTCTTCCAATAGGGAAAGGGGATGTCATCGTTTTGCCTTCATTGTGGTCCAATGCCCCCTGGCTTTAAGCCTAATTATCCTAAAATTTGCACGGGTTAAAAACGGCAATGGTTAATCAGGTATCCTACCCGTCGGCGCAATTATACGGTCTGATGTGTATCTAAATGCGGTGAGAAAGGCTCCGCAGGTGATGTAACGCTCACGTATCGAAATCTCCCGAGGACAGTGAGGTCGGTGCCTCAAGCAAAGAGCACCGTTCTCTGATGTTATCTGCAATCTCTTTCTACTTACCGGGGTGAAGCAGGGAATGTTAACTTGTCAAAGCTTCGACTCTTAACGAGGGAGTCTTCCTCAAGGCAGCGAATGAGACCCTTCCAGTCACGAACGGCTCCCCGAAACTAAGACGCTTCCCTCGCCTAGTTTCTGATCTCCTCACCCGGTCGAGCGGCTCATTCATGTAGCCAATCAGAACCCAGCTGGCACTTCCCTCGCAACCAATAGCAGAAAGTCTATCTACCTGCCCTCTCTTTGTTTTGATTCTACTTGTCGTTTGGTACAGGCGACCTGCGTTCATTGGCTGTTCATTGGGAGACGGCGGAATCGCGCGTGGTAACTGGCCAATAAGAAGATGGACTGACAGAGGGCGAAAAGAAAAGAGCTGTAAACCATTACGTTGCTGTTCAGGGAGGAGATTCCTTTGCTGTTTGGCCAAGATGAGGCAGGTGTTTTGGTGTCACTTTGGTGTCACAGTTGTGTGGTGACTAAATCAGAACACACACACACACAGTTATACACAGACGTGTGTGTGTGTGTGTGGACCCAGGTCATGAAAAATTAAAACAAAATTATTAACTTTGGAAAGTTAAGAAAAAATTGAAGTTGCCCCAGTATTGGGGGACAAACATGGGCAGAAGTTAGTGAAGTTCCAATTCCCACCATCCTTATTGGCCATAATCCCTGCCTTTGAGGGATACTCTCATATGATCTGACCAACCCATTATTTGCTGACTGATTTCCAATGTTTCTGTATTTTGGAAGTGTTGTAACTTAGAGTAAGTTTGGTGTAGTGCTGAAGACATCAAGTCATGAGTTCTAGTCTCACCTTAGCCATAAAGCCAGCTGGGCGACCTTGGGCCAGTCACTTTGCCTCAGCCTTAGAAAGAAGCAATGGCAAATCACATTTGAAAAACCTGGCCAAGAAAACTGTGGGAACTTGTCCAGGCAATCTCTAAGAATCAGACATGATGAACAGAAGGGAGGGAAATGTAATTGGGGAAGGAAGGAAAGCAATTCATGCTACTGCCTGTTCAGGCCCCTTCAAAATATTTTTTCACAGAATTGGATATGTCTAGTTTAGTGAAAAGACGAACTAGGGGTGATATGATAGCAGTGTTCCAATATTTGAGGGGCTGACACAAAGAAAAGGGGGTCAGCTTATTGTCCAAAGTACCAGAAGGCTTATTTCATTTAAAACACATGTACAGAATTATTACCCCCCCCCCCATAGTCCTGCTATGTTGCTTTGTCGTGGCTGTGATGGAAGATGTTTCTGAGAAAGTTGAGTACAGAATGTCAGGAGTTTATGCTAGGAATATATATTCTGAGGGTCATCCTAGAAGGGAGGATCATCCCAGTTGCCCATTCAAAGCAAGCAGGCACCTGTATTGGGCAACAGTAATATAGGCAGATAGTTGAGGTAAAGATTACTATAGGGACATGGCAAAGGCATCATTTCACATTGTGTAGGAAAAGGCAGTGGTAAACCATTTCTGTATTTTATCAAGAAAGCCACATGGATAGAAAATATAAAATGAAAGATAGTATAGTGGGGGTGATGGCTCTCAGGTGTGACAGTACTCAACATGTTACTGAAGAAAAGCTGAGGATCTTTAGAGTACTAATTGTGTTTACATGATGGCTACATTAAAGTGTTAGGGACATATAGTTGTTGATTTTATACCATGCAGGAAAAGAAAATCTACAGCTGCAAAGAAAAAATTATATAGGGAACATGGAACATAAAAAGTATGAACAAGGAAAAGGTCAGCATAGCAAAGATGAAATTAATTGATGATACATTGACATTTTAGGCCTCAGTGAATTTAGATGGTCTGAATAAACGAATGTCATACTTTATTACTCAGGAAACAAACAAAAAAGAAAGTGTTGCTTTTATATCAGGACGGATATAGCAAGAGTAGTGCTTGGCTATAAAGGACCAACTATTATCAATTACAGTGTATGGAGAAGCCTTTAATGTGACAATTATCCACATTTATCCTCCATTCACTAATGCAAAAGAAGAGGAGGTTGATGAGCTTATAGTCACATTCAATTTGAAACTGACAGAACATAAAAGTAGAATATACTGCGTTGATTAGAGACTGCAATGCTAAAGCTGAAATATAAGGTAGAAAATATACAGTAGTTGGTCTTGCAGTCTAGGAAACTGAAATGAAGCAGAACAATTTACTAATTTATGTCAGTCCAGTTATTTCTTTATTGTTAATACAAACTTCCAACAACAAAATAGTGCCTGCATATGGATATCACCAATGGCATTCAGAGAAAGCAGATTGGTTGTATTATTATTATACGGAGGTGAAAAGCTCAATTATAAGAAGGATGTGGACTAGGGGCTGACTGTAGAATCAATCATGACCTCTTCATTTGTAAGTTTCAAGTTAAACTGTAGTGGAAGAAGAAAGCCTTCAACCAATTTCCCAATAGGACCTTAAGCATATACCCACTCTTCCCAGGAACATCAGGAATTGAACCAGAGAAACTGTGGAATAAAATCAGATAAGATGATCACAATGAATGTGAAAAGAAACTGCCAAAGACCAGCAAACAAAAGAAAGCAAACTGACAGACAAACAGTGGAAATTGACAGAAAGAAATGAAAAGACAAAGCCAAGAACTGCAAATATCTCAGAAAGGAACTTTAAAAGACTTGTTCAGAGATCTGTTGGAAGAGACAAGAAGCACTTTATAATTTAAAGACATGGAAGATGGAAATAGATATGAAAAAACAAGGAAACTTTTCTGAAAGATCTCCAAATTCAGAAGAAGGTTTCAATCTCAAATTGATACGATGAAGAGTGTCAAAGGACAGATAGTAACTGATTCTAGAACAGTGGTTCTCAACCTGTGGGTCGGGACCCCATTTGGGGTCGAACGACCATTTCACAGGGGTCGCCAAACAAAGCTGTCCGCCATTTTTTCCCCCTTTTCTTTGGCCACGCCCCTGGCACCCGATGATGTATAAGTGGTTGGGGGTCACCACAACATGGGGAACTGTATTATGGGGTCTCAGCATTAGAAAGGTTGAGAACCACTGTTCTAGAAGATCAAACAAAGATGGAAGTCTGTATAACAGAGATACCAGCATCCAGGATACCTTAGAAGAGTTTCTCTACTTACAAGAATCTAGTATTCGAACATGAATTAAGATGAGACTCAGTCAAGTTAGAGGGCTGCAGAAATTGATAGAATATTTGCAGAATTATGGCAGTAATAGAAGAAGATCTGTAAATATTCTAACAAGCTCTTCCAGCAAATCTGAACAGTGACAGAATGGCAATAGTTTGGAAGAGATCGGTCTATATTAATATCAAAAAGATGGAGACTTAACAGAGTGTATAAACTATTGTACAATATTCTTAATATCCCATGCTAACAAAATAAGGCTTAGGATCATCAAATGTAGATTAGAGTTCTACTTGAAAAGGGAGATGCTAGATGTTCAAGTTGAGTTTCAAAAGTCTGAGAAATAAGAAACATAATTGCTGATGTACATGGACAATTAAGAAAACCAAAGAATAGCAAAAAGCTATCAATATGTACTTCATTAAATATAGAAGGACCTTCAATTGTGTTGATTATGTCAAGCTGTAGCGTGTGCTTAGAAAAATGTGAATTCCAAAGCATCTCATTGTCCTCCTGAGAAACCTATATACAGATCAAAAAGCCACAGTCCGATCAGAGATAGTGAATGGGTGTAGGTTGGCAAAGGAGTGAGGTAAGGCAAATAGTCTCTCCTTATTTATTCAGCCTATATACAGAATATATATTGAAGGACATTGGATCAGAAGAAGATAAGCATAATTTTAAAATTGGAGGAATAAATATCAGTAACCTGAGTAATGTTGCTATACTACCTAGAATATACAAATAATCTGCAAGCTCTAGTAATGAAAGTAGAAAAGTATGGTGAAAAAATGAGATTGGGATTAAACATAAAAATGACCAAAAAATGACAACCGGTAACAGCAGCTGCCTTGAAACTGAAAACAAAACTATTGAGGGGATGAAGTGCTTCTGCCTTTTGGTATCACCTATAACCAGTAAAGAATCCAGCAGTCAAGAAATATGCCAAAATATGCAGAAGATATTAGATGTTGGGATGTGTCTGTACCTTCAAAAATAAGAATTATGCAAGCAGTGATTGTGAAGAAAAAGGAGTGAAAGAGCACAGATGCTTTTGAATTTGATGTTGGAGAACCAACACCAAATCTCTGAGAATATCATGGATAGTCGAAAAAACAAACAAATCACCAAACAAATCAGCCTAGAGTTCTCACTAGAGGCATAAATAACCAGGCTCAAATTATTCTAGTTCAGTTACATTATGCAAAGACCTATTTTTCTAGGAAATCTGTAATGTTGGGAAAGGTGGAAGGAAAGACAAGAGGATGATCAGCAGCATGGTACTTAATTACAACCACAATGTGTATACCACTAGTGGACAGATGATTCTAAAGAAAATCTACGTGCTCACTAAGAATCAACACCAACTTGATGGCACATCATTAATCATTCACAGAATGTGTTTTGGTTATACTGTATTGCATCTCTTTCAGTTGTGTTAATAAGAGCTACTTATAAAAACAAACATCTGCTTCTAGCTAAATTTACTTGGAAGCAAGTTGTAATGGATTTGGAAAGTTTCAATTCAAAATTACACAGCATTTAAGCTCAGGGCAGCTTACAATCAGCTCCTCTAATTTTATCCCCACAATAACCTTCTGTATAAGTTGGGTTGAAATGCATCATCTGGCTGAGAGTTACCAAGAGAGTTTCCATTGCTGAAGATGAATTTAAGGCCGAGTCTCATCTAGTTTAACACTTTCACTACTACATAATTTCTATTTTTTTTTTAAAAAAATGTGTGATATATCTCATCATAGTAGAAAAAAATAGTACCCATTTGATGTCATTCTGCTGTCCAGTGCTGCCAATTGAAGTGCTATATTCATATGTGAAAGAGCTGTTTTTAGAGCAGAAAGATATTTCAAGCCAAAAATCACTAATGAATTTGGTCCAGCAACACAAGTCGCCTTTCTGTTTCAGCTAGAAAGATCTACCTGTTTAGAAGTACTTTGGCCAAATTATTGTTGACTTTCCTTAATAGCTAACTTATGCACACTCCAATCTAGCAGTCTAGTTATTGAATGTAATATAGTGACTGAGAAAC